GGCACACCCAAGATCTCCACTCTTTGTGAGACCAGTATGAGAGTAGGTGTGAAGTCATGCACGAAACTTGATTCTAACTTATTTTGAGAATGGAAGTGAAAATGGGTGTGTGTGGGGGGGGGGGGAGAGAGAGAGAGAGAGAGAGAGAGAGAGAGAGAGAGAGAGAGAGAGAGAGAGAGAGAGAGAGAGAGAGAGAGAGAAGGGAAAGAAAGGGGTGGTGTGGTGTGAATAGACATTTACCCCTGAGAGTACAGAAAAGTGCTCAGTCCTCTGAGGTTGCGTAGATCTTATGTTCAGTTAAGTGTAATAGCTAAAAAAAAATAGGCCCATGTCAGAAGAACACAGAAAAACGCTGTTTCATGGGAGCTCAACATCACATGGTAAAAAGAAACAGGTGACACTTCTCGATAGCCCGACAAAGTTGTGTCAACAATATCGTTGTACACGTAATCCTTATCACCCGGGAGGAGATCGTATATTTTAGCTACAGTTTCTCCCAGTAGAGTCTTTAGGTGATCAGAATACGAAACTTTTTGGAGAATCGCGACCACAATTCTGCGGGCTTGCTGGTATAATTTCTTGTCTGTCCAATCTTCGTGAGCGGCCCTCAGACGTTCGCACAGCAAGTTGTGAAGTGGTCAGAGGTGAGCTCACGTATGTTATGTGCCATTCGGAGGGTAAAGGTCTACTTCAGCCCTCCATTTGGGACTTACTTGGCCTGCTTGGCACACCCAAGATCTCCACTCTTTGTGAGACCAGTATGAGAGTAGGTGTGAAGTCATGCACGAAACTTGATTCTAACTTATTTTGAGAATGAAAGTGAAAATGGATGTGTGGGGGGGGGGGGGGGGGGGGGAGAGAGAGATAAGGGAAAGAAAGGGGGGTGGGTGGTATGAATAGACATTTACCCCTGAGAGTACAGAAAAGTGCCCGGTCCACTGAGGTTGCGTAGATCTTATGTTCAGTTAAGTGTAATAGCTCAAAAAATAGGCCCATGTCAGAAGAACACAGAAAAAACGCTGTTTCATCACATGGTAAACAGAAACAGGTGACATTTCTCGATAGCCCGAACTAATCTTTTTGCAGGTTTGCTTTTTTGGATGTACGGATGTGAACTCTGTCTACTCTTATACATGCAGGACATACAGAAACACTTTCTGGAAAACAGTCTTATTTGGGAGTACATACGGACAGCAGTGTTTTCGCTTCTAGTACTGTGATCACTTTACAGATGCACAAGTGACCGAGGACTTTAAGGGGCTTTATGAATAGGGTTAACTACATGTGTATACCCCCCTCCCCCCCCCCCCCCACTCAAAAAAAAGAAAGAAGATAACAGAAAGAAAAAGAAGCAAGCAAAAAAACCCAATAAAACAAAAAAGTAAACCACGAAAGACTTGAAGATATCCCGATTTAAATGATGAGAGAAGACAGAAAGGTGTAATAATATTGTATATAGTCATGAGCATACCGCACGTTCAAGCAGGGGCAAGCACAGATACAAGTACAACACAAGGAGAAAAATACACTAATAATGCAATATTAATGTTATAGAAGTAAAAGTATCACTCTTGCATTGCTTGTATATGAGGTTAATCCACAAGGTACTGACAAACATAATTATTACATCGGGCATTATAATTGTCTATAGATAATGCAATTTTGTGGAGAATATGCATGTAGATCTCTACACAAACATGCTTATTTCACGACAGTTTGAAAAAACAACTGAAGCTACAAAACAGCAAAGTGTTCATGTAGTCTATAAGGTCTGGAAAAATCAAGGGACAGGAAATTAAACACAATAATCTCGGTGGGTGAAAGACAAATTTGATGAATAGATGGCAAAGGAAATGATTAGTCTTATGTTAAAAACCAGTAGGTTACTAACCAGACAACAGCAAATTTTCTGGGCCTGGGGGTTGACGAACGATTGTATACTCCCGCCTCGACTTGCCTCACTAGGAGAAAGTGCGGCATTTTTCTGCCAATTTGACAACTTTTTTACGTCCGTATCAAAGCACAATTCAAAGTAGATTTTACTGCAAAATGTTGATTAAATGTACAAAACAGGTAAATTTTCAGCTTTCAAAGACTCTCACGCTATTGAAGTTACCACATTTCCTCGTTTATTTTACCTATTAAACCAGGCAACCCCCATTTCGTTCAATCGCAAACATCTCGACTTCTATCCAAGATAGATACCATAACTCTAAATGCCCAAAAATTAACGAGCGCTTGATACCAACGCGTCGTGACACATTATAGCATCTCGCCAGCTATGTTTTGATGTATCCAACATATTTAGCGAGATTACTTTTTCCATCGTACCTGCTTGACAAAAAGTAACATGAACTGAGAACTGATAGTAATGACGACAGAGGTGTCTTTAGAGGATGAAGCAGTAATCCGCGCCTGTGCTAGCCGAACGCCAAAGAAGAAAGGACAGGGCTCGCGATGGTTTAAAAAGACAACCAATGTCAATTAGATGCATCGGGGTTTTTTTTAGAGTTTGGCAGATTTATTTTTTTTTTACTTTGTTATAAAAATATATTTGAAGAATTAAAAATGTGTGACGTTGTGGTAGAACCAAGCGCTCGTCAAAATAATGAAATCGAAGCAACGGACATTTCTCTGGTCAAGGACAATTCTTATTGATGATTTTTAAAAATTCAACACCTTTTCTGTCCATTTAAAAACACATTTCTGTATAGATTTTACTGGGAAAACGTTGATCAAAGGCACAAAACATGTACATTTACCATTTCCAAAGACACTCAATCTTTTGTGTCACAAAATTTTAGCGGTCATTTCATCGCTAATTTTTATCTGTGACACCTCCTATAGCAGATATTTGAACTGCTATTCAAGATAAATGGGTACTCTTTTATCGAACCTACGGGAAATGAACAGGTTTTAAGATAATACCAGTAACTTCTTTTGCCCAAAAATTGACGAACGCCCGATTCTACCGCGTTGTGGCACAATATAAGGATTTTCTAAATCCTACCTCGCTAATGCACTGCTCGCCCCTGTTTACTATTTATAGCAGCTTGTTCACTCTTGGTTTTTACTAAAGGTCGGCTGATTGACCTCTGCAATGATATTTTTGTAAAGGTTGAACGATCTCCTTCAGTAACACGGTTAGGGAATGGCTCCATCATCATCCATCACAACTTCCGAACAACGCCACGAGTAACGAGAGCCTTCAATACCGGATGTACCGTAATTCCGGAATGCAAGACATAGCAGTTAACAGGGTGTTGGCCAGATCATAATGTGAAATAATATTATTAGATAGAGAAGTTAAATCTTTATTGTCCAGATCCTGGCACATTGGTTTTGGTGTTTCACCACGTAAACACACACACACACACACACACACACACACACACACACACACACACACACATACTCACACACGTACGCGCACACACGCACGCACATGCACACACACACACACACACGCGCGCGCGCGCGCGCGCACACACACACACGCATACACACGCGTGTGCACACACCCATACACACATACTCTCTCACACATCCTATCCTCCACACACATTAAAATTAATTGTGCTTGTGAGCATCATAATATAATAGCATGCATATGCTCACAATTTTAAGCAGGCCCACGGTTACTTGCACAATATAAATGAACGATCAAATAATTGTTAACAACAATAGTGTTACGCTAGATACATAATCAGTATTCTCATTGTAAGCCAAAGATATGCTGATACTGCATGCTTTAACGATCATAGGAATACTTATATTACAAGATTATTGAAATGTTGAAATCGAAAACTGTTCCTTACCATCGCTTGAGCATTGAGTTTTAGAAAGAATTTTACGCCACTTTCAACACAATAAGATCATATAAGTGCCGAAGATTAGAGGTGTTACAAAAGCGTAACGAATACAAAAAAGGAGGTGACAGGATAAAAAGAACAAACAGCTCTGGAGCATCCGCCAACCACCCACCATTATTGTCCATTGGCCTGCGTGCTCGTATACTGCTTGCCACAACAGGCCTCGATCGTCCTAGTCTCTGCTTTAATACGAGTAGATCTATATATTATTTCTAGTGTGTTTACCAAAGTATATTAACAATTTGTCAGCTCGCCTGCCTTCCTTTTTGCTTATATCAGCTATTCTAACGTCTCTTTTAATGCTACATGGTTTTGTAAGAAGCAGGACCCCCGAATTTAAGACGACAGGACTGAGCCCCTTAAAAGGGGAGCATTGAAAACTCCCCACGCTACTAAACTTTCAGATCACTGCTTAAAAAATCCGAGACTAGATCTAGATTTTAGGTGTTTTTATGGCCGGTTTTACGAGACAGCTTTGAGTTAGCTTTCCACTTAGATGGGTGTTTCTTGACTAACGCATCGTGAGCTATAGCTTGTTCACTTTCGTCTGACCGCGGTTAAAACAAGATAAAATACAGTCGGTCTGTTCAAACTTCTCAGACCTTTGCATACGGGTCCAAAAGTTAGATGACCAAGCAGAACCTAAAAGTCCATTCATAAAGGTCACTGTAAACTAAGGTCCCGACACATTTTCTTTGATGTTAGCCTACGGCATGTCAAAAAAATAATAAGAGGTTTACAGCATACGCCTAAAATATTTAAAAGTAGGCACATTATATTATTTTTCTCAACAATAGACACCTGAGAAACACGTGCAACAGACGGGTGAGTAGGTGTCGAGACTCACGTGGAGATGTCCAGACAGTCGTGGGAGGAAATCTAGCAACTAACACTGAAATGTTGGGACAGG